CGTTATTTCTTATTTTATATGTTCACCTCTCTGGTCTATGTACAAAAGTTCTGCGGTCATTCTTTTTTTTGTTTAGTTTGTCTTGGTTTTAGAAAAATACACTTGGCCGCGCTTCCTTAACACTATCAGACTTACGTAAACTCTGACAAGCATCAAAACTATTCGTGGACTAGGTAATAGTCTGACGCCTGACACAATATTCGGCAGTGAAAAGCCACTCTATTTTATGTCCGTATACGTAAACGTCGCACGACGAGTCCACACACATCTTGGCGTAAAAAAGTCACTTCACCGTTCACTGGAAGGCGTCCGACGATGCCCTCAGGCCCCGCAGCACGACAGGGCCGCCGTTCTGGTGGCCGTGCGGCCGGATCTCCTGGTAGATGTGCTCCGGGTCGCTCGTCTGCGCCGCCAGCTGCTCGGCGAGAGGGTCGCGCACCACCCCGTTGGAGAGTCCCACGGCCACGGGCGAGGGCGGACTGTCGTAGTCGCCCCACATGAGGCCTGGCACAACGAAAAGGACAAGCATGAAAGTCTTGATGTGGTCGAGTGAGATGGAGCTATGGACGGCTCGAGCCAGTGTGAGTAGTAGTAATGGTGCATGAGGTCTCGTCACTGACATATGCTCACGGTGAAGACTTGTGGAAGTCGAGCCTTACCTAGTGGGGTGCCAATCGTTCTCGCGTCCTCACCGGCGACACTGCACCGCACAGCCGTTTCCGAGTCCCAACCTGCTCCGGAAAAAAAGGCGGGGGTGATAGGTAATGAATAACCACAAGTGGCTTGAAAAGCCCCTCCACACTAGTTGCGCTATAAGGCATGCAGGTGTGGTTTGAGCTTTGCGGGTGCTGGTTTGTCCATTGTCCCTGACCGTTTGCACCCCGCATTGGAATCATCCGGATAAGTACTCCGTCATGCAAACGTAGTTCAGCGTCAGCACGCATGCTTTCATAGCGCCCGGTGGGTAGGCAACATCGTGCCTGGAGTGCACGCGGGTACTGCGGGGTGGCCTACCATGAGTCTCGCAGGCGCCGAGCTCACCGTAATTTGCCGAATACGTATGAGAAAAGACGGACGCGTTCTTTCTGGGCGTAACTGTGAACCCGCCCCATTCACAAATGCCGTACAGTACAACTGACAAAAGCGGCAGAGTTTTCTAGGCGCGTGGTACTCTGACCAGCACCTCGAATGTCAACACTTCAGAAACAGCAATAAAACTTCGTTTTGTGAACGGTCCGACCCACTACTGTCCAGTGCGTCGCCAGCCAGTGCGCTTACCATCGTCGCCGGAGTTCATGAACTTGGCGATGCGCCGCCTGTTGACAGCCGCCACGGCCAGGGCAAGCAGGCAGATGCAGAGCAGCGCCAGGGCGATGTGCAGGGGGACGTCGTCGGCCTCCCTGAAGCCCCCGCCGGGACCCGCCCCCGGGCCGCCCGCCGCCACCTGACAGCATAACGCGGTTTAAAGAACAGCCATCTATAAACATCTGCATCTATTCGTGCAGTTGATCTGCTGCGTGATTAATGCACGTATGCCTCACCTTTCGTGGATTACTGTAGGACGCAGAGTGTGTTCATGTCCTTGTAATTATTAGAGAGAGCCCTATTCACCGTTTTCATTTGTTTTGTGTGGTCTTGTGTAACCATGAGTAGCTCTGCAGCTTATCACCAATCATAATATGTCATGAATAGATGTAAACAAGACTGAATTTTCTCAGTAAAAACTTGAAAATGTAATTGAAAATGTAATTGAAAATTTACACATTTTCTGGACTTTAAAAAAACTACGAAATGGTTCCAACTAATTTTTTTGAAAAAATATAAAAATTTACGTTGTTAGTGTTGTGAGGTTTCTTCCAATCATGGAGGCAGTGGAGGGGAAGGACTTAGACCACAACCAACCCCAACGCCACGTGCGAAGCGCTTGGACCGCTCATGAAAACAGCACATGAATGACATGATATGAGAGGTGTGATGGATGCGAATGTGAGTGGGTCGGGGGGAGGATGGTTTGCAGCGGCACGACTGGCCTTTCGGCTACATTGGGGTTGGTTGGGTCTTGCAGCCTATTGGAGGGACCAGCACTTGGAGGTATTAAATTTTATTTTGTACTCCGTTTTATCCACGTGAAAAAGTAATATTACAATCTGATAACTTGACTTATTACTACAACAACAAAATTATTAAATGTACATCTTTTCTTCAAGACCGACACTAACGCCAAACCGTCTTACGATAAGGTACGAAGGCACGAAAACGCCGACAAGGTATGAGTGTGCCGCACTTCAGAGTGTCCCCCACACCACGCCGGGCCGCGCAGCTCGACTAGCATTCACATCACGGGTGTACCTCCACTCGAATCGACCGGCGACAAGAAAATACAACCGACTGGCTGAGACCACCTCGGTTACACCTGTCCAATAGCTACATGTTTCAATTATAAGTGGAGCTCATTATGATATCAGTTTTGTGACATCGCCATAGTCGGGTGCATTTTCTCGTCTGCAAGGACATTCGCTAAAAGACATAAGCACAAACTCTTCTACGGACGAGATGCACTCTCAATAGTCATCTGAACTGATGTCAGAACTGTTGTCGTCCTCATCGTCGTCCTCATCGTCGTCGTCGTCTCCTTCGTCGTCCTCGTCGTCCTCGTCGTCTTCGTCGTAGTCGTCCGACGGCCTTCTTCTTCTCACAGCCTTGCTGTCCTCGGGTGTCCGCGAGGGTGTGGGCCTCACTGGCGGCAGCGTAGGAGGCCGTGTTGGTGGCCTCGTTGGTGGCCTGGTTGGCGGCCTCGTCGGTGGCTTTGTTGGTGGCCGCGTCGGTGGCCGTGTTGCCCTCGTCGTCGGCCTGGTCGTTGGTCTCGTCAGTCTTGTCGTGGGCCTCGTCGTGGCTCTTGTGGAAGGTTCAGTTGGAGCCGGTGTTGTAGGTGGTTGTGTGGGCGGTTCTGTGGGTGGTGGAGTCGGTGGTTCTGTGGGTGGTGGAGTCTGTGGTGGAGTCGGTGGTCGAGTCGGTGGTCGAGTCGGTGGTCGAGTAGGAGGTCGAGTAGGAGGTCGAGTAGGAGGTCGAGTAGGTGGTCGAGTGGGAGGTTGCGTGCTTGGTTGTGTTGGTGGTTGAGTCGGTGGTTGCGTGCTTGGCTCTGTGGGTGGCTGAGTCGTTGTCGGCGTGGTAGTCCGGATAGTAAATCGAGGAGTGAAAGGAGAGGTCCACAAGTCGCGTTCAACTGGTGGCCAAGTAGGCTGTGAAAAGGGGGGGTACGTTGCGGGCTGAGTTGTGGCGAGTCTGGTGGGCGAGTGAGTGGAGGGTTGAGGCGGAGGCTTCGTCATCAATGGAGTTGTGTATTCGACGGCGGGTCGGGTCGTACGTTGGGTTGGGAGAATGGTCGGAGATGGCGTTGAAGGTCTAAATGTTGAGAGTGAGGTAAGTTGCGTTGGGGGCTCGGTCGACGTGTGGGTTGGGGGTTGAGTAGGAACAACGGTTGAGAGTGTCGTAAAAAGGAAAACTGCAGGTTCGGTTGAAGACGAAGACTGTCTTATTTCCCCTTCTACCATGCGCTCAATCGTATGTTGAGGCAGGGGTTGAGTGTGACGTTCAGTTGGGGGTTGAGTTGGGGGTGTAGTTGGAGGTGCAGTTGGGGGTGGAGTTGGGGGTGGGGTTGGTGGTTGAGTTGCCAGGTCAGTCAGAGGTTGAGTAGGTGGTTGTGTCGGGGGTTGAGTTGAAGGTTGACTTGCAGGTTGAGTCGGAGCTTGGGTAGGGGGTTGAATTGGGGGATGTGTTAGGCGTTGTGTAGGTGGTTGCGTCGGGGGTTCGGTTGAAGGCTGAGTC